GCTGGGGCTGAAATCAGTATAGGGCTGGGATTGAGAGTTTGCAGTTGGGCTAGGAGTTATGGGGTAAGAGGAGTAGCTGGGGGAGTGGGATTGGGAGTGTGAGGGTGGAGCTGGAAAATCCCAGAGCTGGAGCCAAGCTGAAGATCCTGCAGCGAGAACCTGGAGCAGCTTCCCGTGGCGGCGCTGGCAAGATGCAGAGCTACTGCTGAGAGAGCAGAGCTGGCAGTGCAATAAAGCTTGTGGGTCTCGAGCTGAAATCACTGAGGGGCTGGGATAGGGACAGGGTTTGGGCTTGGGACTGTAACACTTGGGGCAGGAATGACAGCAATCCCTGTGAGATAGGGCCTGTGGCACTGTCGCTGAAATCTGTGTGTGTTTGGACTCGGGATTCTAATTGGGAATGTGGAGTGAGAGGCTGGGGCTGAAATCCATATAGGGCTGGGATTGCGTCTCTGGAGCTGGGAGGGTGTCTGGAGCTCAGATGAGGACTGTGGCAGCGTCACTGAAATCCCTGTGTGTCTGTGGAATAAGGATTGATGAGCAGGAACGTGGGCTGGGTGGGTAGGGCTGAAATGAGTCTAGAGCTGGGGTTTTGACTTTGGAGTTGGGCTAGGAGTTCTGGGGTAGGAGGAGTACCTGGTGGACGGGAATTGGGAGGGTGAGGAATTGGGAAGTGGGAGACTGGGATTGGAATGTGAGGGTGGAGCTGGAAAGTGGCAGAGCTGGAGCCAAGCTGAAGATCCTGCAGCGAGAACCTGGAGCAGCTTCCCGTGGCGGCGCTGGCAAGATGCAGAGCTACTGCTGAGAGAGCAGAGCTGGCAGTGCAATAAAGCTTGTGGGTCTCGAGCTGAAATCACTGAGGGGCTGGGGTAGGGCTGGGTTCTGGGCTTGGGACTGTAACACTTGGGGCAGTAATTATATCAAGTAGTGTGAGATAGGGCCTGTGGCACTGTCGCTGAAATCTCTGTGTGTTTGGAATTGGGATTATAATTGGGAATGTGGAGTGAGAGGCTGGGGCTGAAATCAGTATAGGGCTGGGATTGAGAGTTTGCAGTTGGGCTAGGAGTTCTGGGGTAAGAGGAGTAGCTGGGGGAGTGGGATTGGGAGTGTGAGGGTGGAGCTGGAAAATCCCAGAGCTGGAGCCAAGCTGAAGATCCTGCAGCGAGAACCTGGAGCAGCTTCCCGTGGCGGCGCTGGCAAGATGCAGAGCTACTGCTGAGAGAGCAGAGCTGGCAGTGCAATAAAGCTTGTGGGTCTCGAGCTGAAATCACTGAGGGGCTGGGATAGGGACAGGGTTTGGGCTTGGGACTGTAACACTTGGGGCAGGAATGACAGCAATCCCTGTGAGATAGGGCCTGTGGCACTGTCGCTGAAATCTGTGTGTGTTTGGACTCGGGATTCTAATTGGGAATGTGGAGTGAGAGGCTGGGGCTGAAATCCATATAGGGCTGGGATTGCGTCTCTGGAGCTGGGAGGGTGTCTGGAGCTCAGATGAGGACTGTGGCAGCGTCACTGAAATCCCTGTGTGTCTGTGGAATAAGGATTGATGAGCAGGAACGTGGGCTGGGTGGGTAGGGCTGAAATGAGTCTGGAGCTGGGGTTTTGACTTTGGAGTTGGGCTAGGAGTTCTGGGGTAGGAGGAGTACCTGGTGGACGGGAATTGGGAGGGTGAGGAATTGGGAAGTGGGAGACTGGGATTGGAATGTGAGGGTGGAGCTGGACAGTGGCAGAGCTGGAGCCAAGCTGAAGATCCTGCAGCGAGAACCTGGAGCAGCTTCCCGTGGCGGCGCTGGCAAGATGCAGAGCTACTGCTGAGAGAGCAGAGCTGGCAGTGCAATAAAGCTTGTGGGTCTCGAGCTGAAATCACTGAGGGGCTTGGGTAGGGCTGGGTTCTGGGCTTGGGACTGTAACACTTGGGGCAGTAATTATATCAAGTAGTGTGAGATAGGGCCTGTGGCACTGTCGCTGAAATCTCTGTGTGTTTGGAATTGGGATTCTAATTGGGAATGTGGAGTGAGAGTCTGGGGCTGAAATCAGTGTAGGGCTGGGACTGAGAGTTTGGAGTTGCGCTAGGAGTTATGGGGCAGGAGGAGTAGCTGGGGAGTGGGATTGGGCGTGTGAGGGTGGAGCTGGAAAGTGGCAGAGCTGGAGCCAAGCTGAAAATCCTGCAGTGAGAACCTGGAGCAGCTTCCCGTGGCGGCGCTGGCAAGATGCAGAGCTACTGCTGAGAGAGCAGAGCTGGCAGTGCAATAAAGCTTGTGGGTCTTGAGCTGAAATCACGGGGGGCTGGGGTAGATATTGAGGCTAGAATATTAACTGGATGCTTTGGTCAGGGACTGTTTTTTTTTAGTAGAAATTACTGTGGGTTTAGGATTGTATTTTTGGAGCACTCTAGGGAGTCTCTTATTTCTGTTGCAAGCCACTGTAGAGAACTGGGAGTACTGGGTAGAGTCAGCTGTTCTATGGAGAAGGCCCAGGTGTTAACAATGAGAAGGCCCAGGTGTTAACAATGAGGGGGAGGAGGGACCAGGGCTGGGGCTGAGTCCCCTTGGCTGTTGTTCAGGCTCAGGAGCTGGAGCTGGACTTCTTAGATGGCGACTCAGGTGAGTCTGTTTCAATTTCAGCTTTCCAGTCCCCTCCCACTGTCCCCAGTCTCTCCTCAGTCCATCCCAGTTTCTCCTAAGTGCCCCAAACCCCAGCCCAGTTCAGCGAGTGCCATCCCCGTTCCTTCCCCAGTGCCTCCACTCCTTCCCAGTTGCCCCCAGTGCACCCCAGTCCCATCCCACTCCGTCTCCAGTACCCTCAGTCCCATTTCAATCCATCCCTAGTACCCTCAGTCCCAACCCAGCTCCCTGCACAGTTCCCTCCAGAACCTCCCCAGTGCTCCCAGTCCTTCCAAATTTGCCTCAAACCCATTGCAGTCCCTCCCCAGTGCCCCCAGTCCAATCCCAGTCTACCCTAGTGCCATTCCAAGTGCCACCAATCCCATCCCCATCCCTCCCCACTGCCCCCAGTCCCTCCCAGTGCATCCCACTCCCTCCCCAGAACATCTCAGTCCCATCCCAGTCCCTCCCCAGTGCATCTCAGCCCATCCCTGTGCCTGTAGTCCCACTGTCCCCAATCCCTCCCCTATGGCCCCTGTCCCATCCCAGTTCCCCCAGTCCCTCCCCTGAGAATCCCATACCAGTGGATGGCAGTGCAGTGCCCCCACTCCCAGTCCAGTCCCCCAAGCCCCTCTCCATTGCCCTCAGTCCCATCCCCATCCCTCCGCACTGCCCCCAGTCCCTCCCAGTGCATCCCAGTCCTTTTCCCCGATGCAAGATACACTGGGGGCATGAAATCCCAGGGCAGCTGCACTGAGGTTCTACAATTCAGTTGTTCTAAATTAGGTCATTTTCTTAGTGAGCAATTTGAGTTGTTTGACAGCGCGGACTGCAGAAGGATTTTTCGGTAAACTGATTGTTTTTTAGTTTATTTTAAAGCTCTCTTAAAAACTCCACACTGGTGTGCGTTCGCTGCACCTGCCGTGGGGGCTGCAGGGAGAAGCAGCTGGAGGCGTTTGCTCTCTGCTCGTTCACCACCTTCCCCTCGGTTCCCTGGGACTCCAGGGAATCCCAGCTCCCCTTGGCTTCTCCGGGGGCCTCGCGGCAGGGTTTCGAAGTGTGGCCCTGAGATTTTCTGGCCTTGGAACTGATGGCTGTTTCGGGGCACGTCTCACCGGGCAGTCTGTCTTTTAACGCTTGCGGGGGCAGGAGAATTGCGGCGCAAGAAAGCAAAGGAAGCCCAGAGCCTGGAGTAGGCAGGCCCGGGCCTCTGGCGAGCCCAGGCCTTGCTGCTCGGTGCCGATTGTGCCTGGGGCTTGTTCCTCACCGTTCGGTTCCAAATGAGAGGGGAGCAAGAGGCAGAACAGCTGCTGCTGCTGCTGCTGCTGCTGCTGGGGCTGAACTGTCTGCGGTGCCCGGGGTCCGGGCAGGACTTGGCCCCGATGCCTGCATTGCTCTGCAGCGGCCAGGGAGGGGTCCCAAAAGTCATCCCCCCGCCTGCTGTGCTGCACAGCAGGGGCTGGCTGGGCCGGTTCCCGGCCGGGGGAGCCCGGGGGAGGCCGTGCTGGGGCTGAGGGGCTGCTGCTCTCTGGGCCTCTCGGGGTTTGCCTTGGAATCCCAAAGCCTGGGCCTGCACGGGGGAGAGGAGGCAAAGGTGACTGTAAATTGGTCTGTTGTGGAGTGTTTTGGGGCCGAGTTAATGCTCTTGGCTTGTTGTGTGTCAGTTCCCAGCCTCGGTCAGGGCTTCCCAGGGAGCGTTGCTGCCGCCGCCGCCGCCGGGAGAGAGAAGTCCTTTGGGAAGCCGGGATAAAAACAGCAACTCTGTGAATTGCTCAGCTTTTCCTAGGGAAGGGCAGGTTTTAGGGAAGAAAGGCCCGTCCTCGCGAAAGGCGCCGCGGGTCTCGCAAGGGGGGGGCGCGGCTGCAGTGCCGTTCCCGGCCGTGTCCGCCAGGCGGCGACCGCGAGGCAGCGCCCGGCGGTCGGGGCGGGCCGGGAAGCGGCGCCTGCGCAGAGCGAGGCGTGGGCCGGGAAGCGGCGCCTGCGCAGAGCGAGGCGTTGGCCGGGCCGGGCCTGAAGCGCTCGGGGCCGCCGGGCCGGGCAGTGGCGGCGACCGGCCGGGGCGGGGGGTGCGGGGTAAGAGCAGGTTTTAGGGAAGAAACGCCTGTGGTGAGTAATCAGAAGAGAAGGGTGAAAGCCAAGGGCCTTTGACTTCCCCGGTGCACTTAATTTTCTTGTTCTCCTCTCTTTCAGGACAGGGAAAATCGTTGACTTGGGTCCAGCAATGCCGAATGTGTTGGGGTGTGAGCAGCCAAAGGCAACAGGCTCCAGCCCCACCGACCGGCGCTGGGGGCACCTGGTGCAGCCCGTGGGGTGAGGTAAGTCAGAGGGACACGTTTCTCTCCTCCTGCCTGTTGGCATTTGCTCCCTGGGCACTGGCTCTGTTTCCACTGCAGGTTGGTCCTTGCCGTGCTGGGAAGGGTGGAGAGGAAGGGGTGAAGGGCTGGGTGAGCGTGGGGTCCCCGAGCTGTGGGGTTGGGCTGTGCTGAGAGGGGCAGGTGGGTCCCCGTTGGTGAGCCCGAGCCTTGGCTTGGGGGTTCAGGAGCCCGGGGGGCCGAGCTGGGGGCTGTTTGCAGCTCTGCCAGGGCTGGGGCTGACACAGTGCTGGGGGAGAGCCTGGAGCTGGGCTGGGCCGGGGGACAGACGCAGGGGAGCTGGGGGAGGGTTTGGGACTCCCTGGGGGAAAAGGAGGGATGGATGGGCTGGATGGAGCCACAGGCACGTGCTCGTGGGAACACACTTATCCAGGGTGCTGGGATCCGGGTCAAACTCCAGTTCCCCTCGTGTCCAGGGATGCAGGGTCTGAGGGATTGGATTTCCCTGGGGGTTTGCAGGAGATCAGGAATGAGAGGAAACATGGTGCCAGAGCAGGCTGTGCTTGCCTCTGAGGACAGAGAGCCTGTGGGCTGAGGTGAGATTGCTGTGAGTGTTGGGATGAGCATTCCAGCGAACAGGGAGCTTGGAATTCCAGGTGCTGATGGAACCATCACCTTAGGTGTGTTTAGTTTGTGTCTGTGGGAGCTGGGATTCGGGCTGGAGAGCTGTTGCTGGGAACAAAGGGTGGAGAAAACCTGCTCCACGCATGTGTAAGGAAGGATGGAGTAGCAGAGAAGGGGAGTATTTCCATACAGTATCAATATTCTCCATGTGGGATGGAGCAGCAATGGGGGTGGTTGGGTTTGGCCTGGGCCGGTCAGGATCTGCCATAAACAACCCCCCAGACCCTGAACCCTCACTGGACATGTCCAGCCCCTCAGCAGAAACCCAAGTTGTTCATTTGTTACAGAGGAAAAATGATTGGTAATTGCTTCTGATCTGTGGAGAATTCCCTTTGGAATGGTCAAACAGAGAGCGTATCAAGGCAGGCAGAGCATTTCTTTTGGCTCTTTTTTTCTTCTGGTTTGTCATTTTCTCTTTGGCTTCAATGCATTTTGTGTGCTCCTGTTCAGGAAGCAGCGTATTTTTACCTGAAATTCAGGGTGGTTTTGTTTGTTTGTTTAGGATTTTTTTCTTTCCCAGTTGAATCAGGCCTAGTCCAGTGTTGTCCTACAGGACTGCTTTGGTGCTGGGTCAGAGAGAGAGAAGGGGAATGACTTTTCATTCTCTTCCAAGCACAAGTGGAAGGTTGTCTTGTCCCTCCCCAAAGCACTGCAGGCACATGGGAGTAGCTCAGTGCTGGCCCAGTTCTCTGAGAAACACCCGTGGGGGAGAGGTTTAAGTCTTAATGACAACGCTCTGGTCTCTTGATGGCAAAGACTGGGTCCTCCAGTCCCAGCCTGATGAGGGAGAACAGGAACCTCTGTTCTTCATGGCAAACCTTCTGTTACTCCTTGTGCAGTCTTTTCTTTCCGTTGTATGTGTTACTGTCCAGAATCTCTCCAAGGAAAGCTGTTACAAATTTAGAGGTAGGACTGGAATTTGGGGCTGTTCCCTACAAACTCCTGCAAAGCCTGAAGGACCGGGCTGATGACTGCTCTTAACAAAGGTGGTTTATTAATATTCCGTCAGATTTCCCTCAGCTCTGGGCAGGACAGGCAAGGGTTAGGGTGGGGAATTGTGCAAGCAAGACTTGTTATTTCTCCTGTGTGTGTGTCAGTTTGGCAGGGCTGGGAGAAGGAGGACTCGTGTGGGCACCTCCAGAGACAGCGGGAACGGGAGCGTGCTGCGGAGGAGGGAAATTCCAGGGGGTGGGTGCCGAGAAATTTGTCCTTCCCTCGCCCTGTGCTCTGCACTTAGCAGTGGGTCAAGTGCAGAAGTTTCCTGGGGACCCTGGGAAATGATGCCGGGTCTGCCAAGAAAAGTGGGGCCAAAGGAGCAGGACCTGGGTCTGCCAGCGTGGGAGAAACAAGGGACGGGTCATCCTCTGCCTCCAGGAGGGAGGGCAGCAGGAAAGGCCACGGACTAAAGCACTGAAGTGCCGTTCCCCAGGGAGCCCCTGCCCAGACCTGAACTTGCTTCTGCACTTGCTGTCCCTTTCCCAGCGGAGCCGAAGCGTCGGGTGCCGCTGCCGGGGGGATGGAGCTGCCAAGGACAAGCTGGGAGGGTGTTTGCGAGGGAAGGGGGTAGAAGGAGCTCTTGATGTGCTTTTTTTACTTCTTCATCCCACAGAATTGCCACGAGAGGAAATACTTCAGAGGGGCTTCCCTCCAGATAAGGCCTGAAGATGCCAGGAGGTTTCAGCCGGGAGGAAAGGAGCTGTGGAAGAAAAGCAGCCTAAAAACAGCCAGTGGGGATCATCAGGTTTTCCAGCCAAGAAGAACAAGGAGAGAGATGAGGGAATCGGGTTCCAATTCCTAATGCTTTGGTGGGTGCAGGAATGATTTCTGTGTGTTTTCCAGTCCCTTTGGATTCCTGAGATGATTTTAAAATGATGGCTTTAGCAATCAACTAAATCGCAGATGTTGTTTTTGAGAGGAAATGATGCCAAAGAAATGCAGAGTTTTGGGTCAGTTTTGGGGATGATTTGGGTCAGTTTTTGGGGTCAGTTTGGGGTCATTGTTTGGGGTGATTTGGGTCAGCTTTTGGGATGATTGGGGTCAGTTTTGGGTCAGCTTTTGGGATGATTGGGGTCAGGTTTTGGGGTCAGTTTTGGGTCAGCTTTTGGGGTGATTTGGGTCGGTTTTGGGTCAATTTTTGGGGAGCACTGGGTGTTACTGGGGGTTGTTGAGGAGCACTGGGTGTTACTGGGGTGTACTGGGGAGCACTGGGTGTTACTGAGGGTTGTTGGGGAGCACTGGGTGTTACTGGGGAGCACTGGGAGAGAAAATGAAAAATAAAGAGAATAAAAAATAAACGAAGTAAAGAAGGAAATATAAAAAAGAAAATTTAAAAAAAAAGGCAAAAAAACTAAAAAGGAAATAAAATGAAAATGAAATAAAAGAGAGAAAAAAAAAAAAGAAACCCCTTCTTGGGCACCCCGTTTCCTCTCCTCCCCCCCCCCGAACCGTAAATTGCGGGGTCATCACCCCTAAAATGTGAGAAGGGGACCCCGAAATGTGGGTGAGGGAACCCCAGGGAGCCGGAAAAGTGGAGGGGGAGCCGCAGTAAGAAAGCGAAGCCGGGCGGTCGGGCGGCGGGGTGGGGGGGGGCGCATGCGCAGTCGTTGGCAAGACGCCGGCGATCACGTGGTAAGTAAGGGCAGGCAGGAGAGGGACCGGCGACGCATGCGCAGTGGCTCTCGTGCCGGTGCAGCGCGCCCTGCTCGAGTTAAGGGCCGGTTCCGGCGGCAGGGCGGGACTCGCGGCCTCCCGTCTGTCCCGGGGTGTGCGGGGGGGGAATAACGTGAATTTCTCCTGATTTTAATTCTCTTGGGCTCTTGTCCTCATTTTAATTTTTTTAAGGCTCTTGTCCTGATTTTAATATTTTTAAGGCTCTTCTCCTAAATTTAATTTTTTTAAGGCTCTTGTCCTGATTTTAATATTTTGAAGGCTCTTGTCCTGATTTTAATTCTCTTGGTTCAAACCATTTCCTAATAAGTCAGTTTTAATGAAGTGTTAAAAGGAGAACTTAAATAAGGGTAATTTCTGATGGAGAATAATGGGAAGAAGTGGTTTAAGTTAACTAAACATGTTTTATATCAGTCCATGGTTATTTAATTGAGCATTGTTTGGAATTTTTCTTTTTGCATTGTTCCTGGTGTGCTTTTCTCTATCTAAGGGATGTTTGGAGGTCATTTTGGTTGGTTGAAGGTTTTTAATGTCAGTGCTGGATTGGGGTGGACAGTCATTGTAACATGATTTAGAGTTGGATGCATTTTATTCTGTGTGCCCTGTTTGATGTCTCGTGTTCAGCGAGTGACTGGTCAGAGTTTGGCCCAAGCCTTTGTTTTTCAGGTGAAAAAGCCGAAGGGGGAATTGTAGTTGCAGCTTTGCCCTTGAGCTGCAGCTGGAGCCTGGCCAAAGAACAAGGCAAAGCTCCCTGGGGAAGGAAGGGGGAGCCAGAGAAGAAAAGCAGCTGCAGCCAGAAAGGTGGGTTTGGGCGGGAGAAGAGGGGCTGTGACCCAGCAAGGGGCTCTGGAGGGCTCTGGGGTCCCTGTAATGGCTCTGGGGTCCCTGTAATGGCTCTGGGGTCTCTATAGGGGCTCTGGGGTCTCTATAGGGGCTCTGGGGTCTCTATAGGGGCTCTGGGGGGCTCTGGGGTCCCTATAATGGCTCTGGGGTCTCTGTAGGGACTCTGGGGTTTCTATCGTGGCTCTGGGGTCCCTATAATGGCTCTGGGGTCTCTGTAGGGGCTCTGGGGTCCCTCTCCTGGCTCGGGGTCCCTCTCGTGGCTCGGGGTCCCTCTCCTGGCTCGGGGTCCCTCTCCTGGCTCGGGGTCCCTCTCCTGGCTCGGGGTCCCTCTCCCTGCCGGCACAGGAGCTGCTGCCGCCCCAGCAAGAGGCAGAGGAGTCGCTGCCCAGAAGCAAGAACTCACTGAGAGCTGAACTGGGGCCGTGTGGGCAGGGCCAGAGGGGAGCAAAGGAAGGGATTTGTTGCTAAGAAAAGAAATAAAGTTTGGGTCATTTGTTGGGGAGATTTGTGTCAGTTTCTGATCATTTTTGGGGGTGATTGGGCTGACTTGGGTCATTTTTTGGGGATATTTGGGTGAGTCTTGGTGTCAGTGTTTTGGGGTTTTGGGGTCAGTTTCTGGTCATATCTGGGGCTGATTTTGTATCATTTTGGGTCAGTTTTGGGGGGGGTTTTTTGCATTTTTAGGTCAGGTTTTGGGCCAATTTGGAGTTAGTTTTTGAGGTGATTTGGGCCAGTTTTGGGTCAGTTCTGGATCAATTTTTGGGGTGAATTGGATCAGGTTTTGTGTCTTTTTTGGGGAGATTTGAATCAGTTTCTAGTCATTTTTTGGGGAGATTTGGGTGAGTTCTGGGTCATTTTTGGGGAGATTTGAATCAGTTTCTGGTAGTTTTTTGGGGAGACTTGGGTGAGTTCTGGGTCTCTCCTGATTTTAATTCCTTCAGGCTCCTCTCCTGATTTTAATTTTTTCAGGCTCCCCTCCTGATTTTAATTTTTTCAGGCTCCCCTCCTGTTTTTAATTTTTTTAAGCTCCTCTCCTGATTTTTATTGTATTAGTCCCCTGTCCTGATTTTAATTTTTTCAGGCTCCTCTTCTGATTTTAATTTTTTCAGGCTCTTTTCCTGTTTTTAATATTTTTAGGCTCCTCTTCTGATTGTAATTCTTTTAGGCTCGTCTCCTGATTTTTAGATTTTTAGTCTCCTCTCCTGATTTTTATTCTCCCACCCGCCCTTCCCCGGCCCCAGCAGCGCTGTCAGTTGTTGTCACTGAGGAGTCAAACTATGCTTTAAATAATGAGCCCCTGGCCTGATGGCCCAGTGTCAAGGCAAAAGGTGGAATGCTCTCTGAGTGTTGAGATGTAACAAGGGCTAATCCTTTTTGCAGTGGGATGGAGCCTGGAAAGTGCACAGAGCTGAGCCCAGGGATTGAAAGGGACCAAGCAAGGGAGGTGAAGAAAGAAGGAAGAAGGGAAGTGAGGCAGCAGGCAAGCAGCACCAAGTTGCTGTGTAAGCAGGTGAGTTGTGTTGAGGTTCCTCAGGCAGGCACTGAGGACTTGGAGGGCTCCAGACAGAGCAGACCTGGGAAGGCCCTCGGTGAAGCCCCTCAGAAACCTGAAGCCCCTGGGCCTTTTGGGGAGCCTGAGCTATTGCAGCCCTGGGGATGGCTTTGGTTTCCTTCTCTCCTCAGAGTAAAACTCTGTGGGGGAGTCTGTGATCTCCCTGATTTTTGTGTCATAACTGAAACTTGGAAGGAAGTTGACCTTGTGTCGTTTCCCAACTGACTTGGCCGGGTTGAACCAGCAGTGCCAGATTGTTGTAGTGTGCAGGGTGTTGTTTGTGTCTGAGCAGTTTGGGGTTGATTTGCCAAGGGGAGCCGTGGAATGTTATGGTGTTTTTGTCCCAATATTTGGAGGCAGTGCCCTGGATGAGTTGATTTCTGCCTCACTCCCTGATATCTGAGTTAGGAGATGTACCAAGAACTGGGAGTTTTTGCAGTGGGATGTTCCCTAGAAAGTGCATGGAGCTGAGCCAAGGAACTTAAAGGGACTGAGCAAGCAAAGTCAAGAAAGAATGAAGAAGGGAACTGAGGCAGCAGCCAAGCAGCACCAAGCTCCTCTACAACCAGGTGAGTTGTCTTGAAGTTGATAAGGTGGTCACTGAGAACTTTGGGGTCTGCAGGCACAGGTGACCACCAGAGACCCCCAATGGAGCCCCTCAGAGAACTTATAAGGGTTTGTGTAGATGGGAACAGGGGTTGGGAGTGTCCTGAATGTGCAACAGGAATGCAGGGAAGGAAAATGAACCCTCCTGTCATGCTGACCCCTCCCATCAGCTGCAGTGGAGACCCCTCCGTGTGCCCTTTGGGAGCGGATTGCCAGGACCCCCGTGGGGCTGGGATCATGGCAGGGTGTTGTAAGCAAGGAATGCCTGGCTTCTAAAAGTCACCAGCTGAGTCTTAGAGGCTCCTTTGAAGAGCTGAGTTCAGGCAGCAGAATTGCCCCCCAGGAGGGACTCTGTGCCTGCTCTCCCGTGGCTCCGAGGGATCTCTGGCCCTTCACGCCGGCCCCGAGATTTTCTCGGGAAGGGCCTCAGATCTCCGGACCAGTCTGGGACACAGGCAAGATCCCCCTGCATTTTGGGACCAAATTGGCCCCTGGAGGGACAGTGCTGTTGGTGCCCCCCGGGTTGGGGCACCCCGAGGACTCCAGCGCGCACCGAAAGGATTATTCGGGGAGATCCTCGGGGTGCCCGGCCCTGGGGAGCTCAAAGCAAGGTCCCTGCCATGGATTCAGGCAGTGCTGAGAGTATCCCAGGGGTCCCTGTCCCTGCTAGACAGGGAGCTCTCTAATGGGCTGTAATTGGGTTCTAAAAGCGGTGCTCCAAGTGCCAAACAAGTGTGGGATTGGGATTAAGAAATGAGCAGTGAGGGTGCAATTGGCTGTTTTCTCTGGAATGTGACTGTGAGAGCTGCAGGAGTGCCAGGTGTGTGTTCCAGTCCCCAGCATTTGGTTTGCACATGTCCTGGTCAGACACAAGTACAATTTCCTCAGTCCTGAACACAGCAGAATGAGAATTATGGACTGGCAGTGTTAAGGTGATTGGTGTGACAGGGGTCAAACTGGGAAAACATTGGGGAATTCCTCAGTTTGTGTTTTTGCCAAACTCACCCAAACCTCTGCTAGGAAGTGATGGGCTGGAAAAGTTGAGGCAGAAATGGAATTGAAAACTGGGGCTCTTGACGCTGTAATTGCTGAAACTAAATGTGTCCAAGCAGCAGCTCTTGTTGTGCAGGGAATAACTCCTGTCAGCAGCAAGGCCCTGACTGAAGTGGCAGCTGCAGTTGTTCCTGTGGTGTGGGCCAGTGGAGCTGCAGGAGAGTGGAAGAGGGCAGAACCTGTAGGTATTACCCCTGATGTGGGATCTCTATGGGTAAGGCCAACCCAGTATCCTTTAAAATCAGAATGCCAGACTGGATTGGTTGCAGGAACAGCTAAATTGGCTCCTCCTGGTTTGTTTGTAGGACGTGAATGCAAGAACCTGCCAAGAAAACCAGTGGACAAGATGATTGATTAGTGCAGGACCTGAGAGAAGCACCTTGAATGACAACCTGGAGGAGTTTCCAGTATTGGATTTAAAAGATGGCCTTTGCATCTCCTTGAGCAAGGAAAGCCAAGAAAGCTTTGCTTTTGCAGGAGAAAATGGGGCAAGCAGGCAGGAAGAAGAGAAGCCCCGTGACTCCTCCCTGAGCCCCAGACAGCCCATGAACTGCCTTGCTGGGAATGGTGGGACGGGCTGGACTCTGCATTGCTCCCTCGGGATGTGTGGTAAGACTGTTATGGCGACTTTTTGAATAGATGGTGCAAGGGCAGCCTTTAAGCAGCTGAAGCATTCCCTGAGGAGAGCTCTGGGTCTGCCAGATGTGTCAGAACTGTTGGAAGCATCTTTGGTGGGGAGGGCAAACAAAGGCCAAGGTGTGCAGTGACCCCCCTGAGAAGGGACTTTCAGTTAATGGCATCCCTGATGGTGAACTTTGTGGGCTGTTCCCCCTGTAGGGCAGGTGATAGTCCCAGCTCCAGTTATGGGAAAAATGGTTAAAAGGGAGCCCCAAAAGCTGGAAGTCCTCCTGGAGGCTCCTGGCAAAGAGAGTTTGCTGCGTTCCCCCTGACAGAAGGACAGTGATAGCTTTTGAGTGCTGGTAGATCCTTTGAATAGATAGCCTTGAGTGTGTCCTTGTTGCACCAGTAGGACTTATCAAAGTCCCCATATTCCAGGAGATAGACACATTGAAGTTTAAAATATTCTTCCTAATCCTTTGTTGGCTTGAGGCTCTCCCCTCAGGAACTGCAGGAACTCCTGGTGCCGCCTGGGCCGATGGATTGGACGCCCCAGCCCCTCCGTTCCTGCCCGGCCACTGGGGCCGTGTCCAGTGGTGGCACTGCCAGCCCTGCAGGTGAAGTGGGAAGGGCCTTTGCAGGTCTGGTGGGTCACATTTATAGCAGGTAAAGTTGCAGTAAAAGGACCTGGGGTCTGTTATTCTTGAGTTCAGAAAGCTCCTTTTGATTGGTGAGCAGGACAAAGTGGATCCTTAAGAGTTCCCATCCGTGTTTGTGTCTCAGCCTGTGTTAGGATTCAGGGCTGTAGCTGTTGTTGTCACTGAGGAGTCAAACTGTGCTTTAAATAATGAGACCCTGGCCTGATGGCCCAGTGTTAAGAAAAAAGGGGGAATGCTCTCTGAGTGTTGAGATGTAACAAGGGCTAATCCTTTTTGCAGTGGGATGGAGCCTGGAAAGTGCACAGAGCTGAGCCCAGGGATTGAAAGGGACCAAGCAAGGGAGGTGAAGAAAGAAGGAAGAAGGGAAGTGAGGCAGCAGGCAAGCAGCACCAAGTTGCTGTGTAAGCAGGTGAGTTGTGTTGAGGTTCCTCAGGCAGGCACTGAGGACTTGGAGGGCTCCAGACAGAGCAGACCTGGGAAGGCCCTCGGTGAAGCCCCTTGGAAACCTTCTAAGGGTAGTTGTGTATGGTGATAAGTGTTGGGAAATGTCCTGAATGTGGAACAGGAATGCAGGGAAGGAAAATGAGCCCTCCTGTAATGCTGACCCCTCCCATCAGCTGCAGTGGAGACCCCTCCGTGTGCCCTTTGGGAGCGGATTGCCAGGACCCCCGTGGGGCTGGGATCATGGCAGGGTGTTGTAAGCAAGGAATGCCTGGCTTCTAAAAGTCACCAGCTGAGTCTTAGAGGCTCCTTTGAAGAGCTGTTTTCAGGCAGGCAAATTGCCCCCCAGGAGGGACTCTGTGCCTGCTCTCCCGTGGCTCCGAGGGATCTCTGGCCCTTCACGCCGGCACCGAGATTTTCTCGGGAAGGGCCTCAGATCTCCGGACCAGTCTGGGACACAGGCAAGATCCCCCTGCATTTTGGGACCAAATTGGCCCCTGGAGGGACAGTGCTGTTGGTGCCCCCCGGGTTGGGGCACCCCGAGGACTCCAGCGCGCACCGAAAGGATTATTCGGGGAGATCCTCGGGGTGCCCGGCCCTGGGGAGCTCAAAGCAAGGTCCCTGCCATGGATTCAGGCAGTGCTGAGAGTATCCCAGGGGTCCCTGTCCCTGCTAGACAGGGAGCTCTCTAATGGGCTGTAATTGGGTTCTAAAAGCGGTGCTCCAAGTGCCAAAGAAGTGTGGGATTGGGATTAAGAAATGAGCAGTGAGGGTGCAATTGGCTGTTTTCTCTGGAATGTGACTGTGAGAGCTGCAGGAGTGCCAGGTGTGTGTTCCAGTCCCCAGCATTTGGTTTGCACATGTCCTGCTCAGACACAGGTCCAACTTGCTCAGTCCTTAACCCAAGAGAGGGAGAATGAAGGACTGGCACTGTTAAGGTGATTGGTGTGACAGGGGTCAAACTGGGAAAACATTGGGGAATTCCTCAGTTGGTCTGTTTGCCAAACTAACCCAAACCTGTGCTAGGAAGAGATGGACTGGGGTCTCTGATCTCCTGGGCAGTTGTTTTGCATGACCCTGGGAGCCTCTGGGATTAGACTGGCCTGGGCAGACAGGGAGCAGTTTGTCCTGTGGAGCTGGGCTGGGTTTGTTGAGGATGCCTTGGGAGGCAGGGCTGGAGAGGCTCCTCTGTTGGCTGTAGTGGTGGAAGGTTGTAGCAGCAGGGCTGGAGCCTTCGCCCTCCTGCTCCCCCCGTGAGCCCCGACGGGCCCGTGCCCTTGGCAATGGAGGGCCCCCATTGCTGAGTCAGCGGTTCCGGGGGCCAGGAGGGATGGGATCAGGATGCCGAGCTCCGCCCAGGGCCAGGGCTGCCAGTGTTCAACCATGCAGGGAACTGAAAGCACAGTGAGATGGAGGCCAAGCTGCAGCACAGGGATGGGTGAGAAAAGACCCTAGTCCTCAGGTGGAGCTTTGAATTCCCTGGAAAAATGGATCCTGTCAGATGGATCAGGCCCTTGTGGGTGCTGGAGCAGAGGCCTCTCTCATTTTTGGTCACCCTGAAAGGTTGCAAGGACAGCAAGTTCTGACTGCAGGATGAGGTGGCAAACAAAGTGAAGTGGTCCAGAGAAAAGCTGAGGCTAAAATTGGCCCTGTGCCAGAGCAGCCTCGTGCAGTGCTTGTTGCTGTCCCTGAGTGTCCCATTGCAGTGGATATTTCCAAGGGTGCCTTGTGCTGGGGAGCACTGGGGCAGTTCCCTTTCCCTGGGCAGGGCAGGCAGGGCACGTTTCCCCCCTCGAGGGTGGCTCCACAGTCCCCCCCTGTGCCCTGGGAGCGTGGCAGAACACCTGGACCCACTGTTCTTGTCAGAGAGGGCACAAGGGATGGTTGGATGGGGGAGGGAATGGCTCAGGGAGTACAAGCACCATTACAATGAGTAGGGCAGCACCTGGAAAGGAAGAAGGGGAGTTAATCCAGACAAAATCCAAGCACCTGCCCAACCTGTGATATTTTTAGGAACTCAGTGGTGCTGTGGTCCCCAGGAAGTATTGCCCAGGACTAGGCAGGAGACTTCAGGCTCTGTCACCCCCAGAGCAAGTGTCCAGGGGCAGGCAGTGGGGAGGCAGCTCTGTTGTTGAGGATGGGGTTATTTTCTCTGCTTTATTTTGTCTCCAGAGATGTTCTTCCCATTAATCCAAACTGACTCCATCTCCTAACTCTCTGAAGAGGTTTTCTGCTTTTTGTGGGAGGGTAAGGTTTGGGTTCTAACTATAGAAGAGCCAACAAAATAAAGGCTTTGTGGCAAACAAATGGTGTCTCCCAAACTCTTTGTACTTCAAATAGATGCCTTTATTCTTAGTTTTTTCTTATTGGTATTCTCAAGATACTTGATACCCTGTCTACAGTTATTTATTTTGGCTTCTCTTTTTTATTTGTTACAGAGTTGATGTGACTGACTTCTTTTTGAAATGCAGCAGTGCTCTCAAGGATATTTCCCCCGCACTCCTGGGCTTGTGCAGGGCTGTTGAGTCCGTGTGTGCCACTGTTCTTGTCCCAGGGGGACCGAGTGACATTTGGAACCAAACCTGGGGACTTGAACTCTAGGAATGTTTCTGTGTCTTTGAATTTTAAATTGCACATGAAGCAGAAATATGTTTGTGTTTTCCAGGTTATATTGTCATGAAAATAGAAATGCATCATTGGATCTTACTCCTCTGAGGGCAAACCACCAGACTGATCATTTCTTAGTCCATCAGACCCAGTGCCAGGAACTCAGAGGGGTGTTTGTGTGCAAATGTGCTGAGTGGTGGTGGCCCCCGTGAGACTGTGACCAGCTGGAAATGTGTGTGTGTGTGTGTGCAGAGCTGGGCTGGATCCCTTGGGATTTGGCTCCCAGATCCCCCCCAGCCTTCAGGAAAACCAGAGGCCACCGAACCCTGAGGGAAGGGAGTCCCATTTGCAGAAGGGTTTGTAGATTGGGGAAAAGCTCTCCAGAACAAAGCCTGTGTTCCAAACCCCTTCAGGCCAAAGTCAAGGAGCACAAACCCTGGAGTCATCAAGTTACGAAGTTTGGTTCAAACCATTTCCTAATAAGTCAGTTTTAATGAAGTGTTAAAAGGAGAACTTAAATAAGGGTAATTTCTGATGGAGAATAATGGGAAGAAGTGGTTTAAGTTCCCTAAACATGTTTTATATCAGTCCATGGTTATTTAATTGAGCATTGTTTGGAATTTTTCTTTTTGCATTCGTTCCTGGTGTGCTTTTCTCTATCTAAGGGATGTTTGGAGGTCTTTTTGATTGCTTGAAGGTTTTTAATGTCAGTGCTGGATTGGGGTGGACAGTCATTGTAACATGATTTAGAGTTGGATGCATTTTATTCTGTGTGCCCTGTTTGATGTCTCGTGTTCAGCGAGTGACTGGTCAGAGTTTGGCCCAAGCCTTTGTTTTTCAGGTGAAAAAGCCGAAGGGGGAATTGTAGTTGCAGCTTTGCCCTTGAGCTGCAGCTGGAGCCTGGCCAAAGAACAAGGCAAAGCTCCCTGGGGAAGGAAGGGGGAGCCAGAGAAGAAAAGCAGCTGCAGCCAGAAAGGTGGGTTTGGGCGGGAGAAGAGGGGCTGTGACCCAGCAAGGGGCTCTGGAGGGCTCTGGGGTCCCTGTAATGGCTCTGGGGTCTCTGTAGGGGCTCTGGGGTCTCTATAGGGGCTCTGGAGGCCTCTGGGGTCCCTATAAGGGCTCTGGGGTCTCTGTAGGGACTCTGGGGTTTCTATCGTGGCTCTGGGGTCCCTATAATGGCTCTGGGGTCTCTGTAGGGGCTCTGGGGTCCCTCTCGTGGCTCGGGGTCCCTCTCGTGGCTCGGGGTCCCTCTCGTGGCTCGGGGTCCCTCTCCTGGCTCGGGGTCCCTCTCCTGGCTCGGGGTCCCTCTCCTGGCTCGGGGTCCCTCTCCTGGCTCGGGGTCCCTCTCCCTGCCGGCACAGGAGCTGCTGCCGCCCCAGCAAGAGGCAGAGGAGTCGCTGCCCAGAAGCAAGAACTCACTGAGAGCTGAACTGGGGCCGTGTGGGCAGGGCCAGAGGGGAGCAAAGGAAGGGATTTGTTGCTAAGAAAAGAAATAAAGTTTGGGTCATTTGTTGGGGAGATTTGTGTCAGTTTCTGATCATTTTTGGGGGTTATTTTTAGTGAGTTTCTGGTCATTTTTGGGGGAGATTTGGGTCAGTTTCTGGTCATTTTTTGGGATGATTTGGGTGAGTTTTGGGTTTATTTTTGTGGTAATTTTGGGTCAGTTTCTGGTCATTTTTTGGGGTGATTGGGCTGACTTTTTGGTCATTTTTTTGGGGAGATTTGGGTGAGTCTTGGTATCAGTGTTTTGGGATTTTGGGGTCAGTTTCTGGTCATATCTGGGGCTGATTTTGTATCATTTTGGGTCAGTTTGGGGGGGGGTTCTTGCATTTTTAGGTCAGGTTTTGGGCCAATTTGGAGTTAGTTTTTGAGGTGATTTGGGCCAGTTTTGGGTCAGTTCTGGATCAATTTTTGGAGTGAATTGGATCAGTTTTTGTGTCACTTTTTGGGGAGATTTGGGTGAGTTCTGGGTCATTTTTGGGGAGATTTGAATCAGTTTCTGGTAGTTTTTTGGGGAGACTTGGGTGAGTTCTGGGTCTCTCCTGATTGTAATTCCTTCAGGCTCCTCTCCTGATTTTAATTTTTTTAGGCTCTTCTCCTCATTTTAATTTTTTAGGCTCCTCTCCTGATTTTAATTTTTTTAGTCCCCTCTCCTGATTTTAATTTTTTTAGTCCCCTCTCCTGATTTTAATTTTTTTAGTCCCCTCTCCTGATTTTAATTTTTTTAGTCCCCTCTCCTGATTTTAATTTTTTCAGGCTCCTCTCCTGATTTTAATTTTTTTAGGCTCCTCTCATGATTTTTATTGTATTAGTCCCGTGTCCTGATTTTCTGATCTTAAGGTTCTTTCTCGCTGATTTTGATTCTCTTGGCTCTCTCCTGTTGTTTATATGTTTTAGACTCTTCTTCTGATTTTTCATTTTTTTTAGGCTCTTCCCTGAGTTTTCATTTTTATTTTTTTAGGCTTCTTCTCCTGATTTTAATTCTCTTTAGAGAGAGCTGGAATTAAACCAGGGAGGAGATTCCTAATTACAAAGTAAATTTTTCAAGACACAGCACATCACAAGCCAATTTATCGTTCATTCCGCAAAGAACTACACGAAATAGCGTTATAACAAAAAGAATGCCATAAGTAAAAAATCGATTAGCAACCAGTGCCCCCTTGGTGACAGAGAAAAAGAATTGCACATTATATTTGAGATGAAATTAGCTGCACCTGCTGACGGAAAACAGGACTGCATTGAACAAATTTTTGAACAGCGGGCAATGCGCAGTCGTTGGTCAAAACGCCGGCGATACGTGGTAGTAAGGGAAGGCAGGAGAGGGGGCGGGACCGCATGCGCAGTGGCTCTCGCTGCCGGCTGCAGCGCTCCCTGCGTGTTCGAATTGAACCGGGCGGTTCGGCGGCATGCAGGCGGACTCGCGGTCTCCGTTCTGTCCCGGGACGTGTGCGCGGGGGGAATAACGGGAGATTTCTGGGGTGAGAGCGGCAGAAATTAGCGAGGAGGGACGCTAATTGGGGTTAAACTCGGTCACCGGAAGTACGTGAGCGACCAGGAAGCTCCTCCAAGGCCCCCGCCCCGGCCCGGAAGTTCGCCAAGCCCACAGTAAAGATGGCCCCGCCAGGACCGGAACGACCACACTAAAGATGGCGGCCCCGGCCCGGAAGTTCGCCAAGCCCACAGTAAAGATGGCGCCGCCAGGACCGGAACGACCACACTAAAGATGGCGGCCCCGGCCCGGAAGTTCGCCAAGCCCACAGTAAAGATGGCGCCGCCAGGACCGGAACGACCACACTAAAGATGGCGGCGAGAGGCTTCCGCCGCGACCCGGACCCCCACCCCGCGCCCGCAGCGCCGTCTCGCCGCGCTGCTTCCCGCTGCGGGGACAGGGCGGGGCGCTCGGCGTGCGGCCGGGCCGCGGCCGGCAGGTGTGGGCCGGCGGCAGGCACCGGCGCCGGCAGCCCCGTCTCGGGGCCGCGGCGCGCGAGGACCGCATGGCGCGCACGTCGCGCCGCCCTCTCGCCCCGCTCCGCTCCCGCTCCCGCCCCTGCCCCCGCTTCTGCCCCGCTCGCTCCCGCCGTGCCCTGGAGATGCTATCGGGGCTGCGCCGCCGCCTTCCCCCCCCGGAAGCGACCCACGGCGGCAGATTCGACGGAGATCGACCCCGGGGTAAGCTGGGCGCGTCCAAAGGCGCCGCGGGTCTCGCCAAGGAGGGGAGGGGGGGGGGGAGGCGCGCGGCTGCAGTACCGCTCCCGGCCGTGTCCGCCAGGCGGCGACTGTGAGGCAGGGCCCGGCGCTCGGCGGCGCTCTTGCAAGCGACGCCCCTGGCAAAGCGGCGCTGCTTGGGCACTGCCGGCCTTCCCCCGGAGTGCCCGGGCTGGCCCAGCACCTGGCCGAACCTCTTAGGGAAAAGGCAAGGAACAACTGCGCTTCTTCTGCCCTTTCTTTAGCCCGGGACTGGAACACAGACAAAATCAAGGGGCTCTTGGACCTGTGCAGGCTCCGAGCAGTTTTCAGCCTTCCTTAGCAGGGCATTCTCACCCTCCGAAAAGCTGAAAGGCTTTAACAGCTGGAGACGCACCTGCAGCTGTGCAGATTAATGTAGTTTCTTTTAGGAAATGAAGGGGAAGTTTTCCTGTTGGGAGCCTAAATACCGAGTCTACTCTGCTTTTTCAATCAGGTGACGAAGCTTAGGGAAGAAAAGACCAAAGGCCTCGAGGTGAGTACATTCTACCGAGTTCTGCTTTTCTGGCATCGGTTTGGGAAAATCACGTGAAATTCTAAAAAGCTTCTCTCCGTGTTTTCTAGTTGTTTTTTCAGCCTTGCTCTAAGTTTCATGTAGAAAAGGGCATAGAATTATTAGAACAGACAAACTAGACTTCCTCGGGAGAGATGGAAGAAAAGTCTGCTGATTCCAGTTCTGCTTTTCTTGTCTTCCCTTCGACTGTCGTTTTCTCTCCCCTGCTGTTCAAATAGGCTGCAGTTAATTGCTCTGCTGAAGAGTTTGCTGTCCTAAGTGTCTGTCAAATTGATGCCTTCAACTCAAGACAGCACCTGCTCCTTAGTTACAAAAAGTTCCTCACAGGAAATGTTCAGGCGTGCCCATAAATCTCCTCGCTGTTTGTTTGGGAGAACAGGCTTTTCTCGTCTGTAACAGAACAGTCGTGTCATCTGCTCTGGAATGCTGGTGGCAATCTAGTCAGAAGAGGACCCCGTGCTTCACTAATTTTCCCTTTTTGTTGTTGGGGGTGACTTCTTCCCAGGCATGTTATTCTTGACCCCCCGGGGCAAACGGAGGTGTCAGCGTCAGGAGCCATCCTAACTGAGGCCCTGGGAGGTCAGTGCTTTTTGTGGGACTGGACGGTGAAGCTGTCTGTGGGAATGCCCTGGCTATGGCTCAGTGTAGTCCTAATTAAGGTGTCTTTTACTCCGTGTTCCCAGGCTGCCTCTTTCCCTTCGGTCGCCGTGGGTGTGCCGGACGCCTCTGGCAGGACTAACCCTGTGGCTTTTATGTCCAGCGTGCTGTGCTGTGTGTGCCTGCAGGTAAGAAAAGCTGGGAGTGCAGTCCCTCTGCTTTGGTTGCTGTGTCTCTTTGGGAGTGATTTTGGAGGGGAATGCCAGAGCGATTTGGTTTGAAGGGGACCTTCAAAGGCCAGCCTGTCTTGCGTGGGCAGGGACACCTTCCACTGTCCCCGGTTGCTGCGAGTCCCGTCCAGCCTGGCCTGGAACACTTGCAGGGATGGGGCAGGCTCAGCTTCCCTGTGCAGTGTGCTCTGATAGCTCTCCACTGGCATCGTGAAAAATGTTGTCAGCGTGTTTTGTTGGACGACGGTAAGCAGGACCTGGGTGAAAAGGACATTCTCTGAGGTGCTGGGAGAAGGAGGACTCGTGCGGGCACCTGCAGAGACAGCGGGAACGGGAGCGTGCTGCGGAGGAGGGAAATTCCAGGGGGTGGGTGCCGAGAAATTTGGCCTTCCCTCGCCCTGTGCTCTGCACTTAGCAGTGGGTCAAGTGCAGAAGTTTCCTGGGGACCCTGGGAAATGATGCCGGGTCTGCCAAGAAAAGTGGGGCCAAAGGAGCAGGACCTGGGTCTGCCAGCGTGGGAGAAACAAGGGACGGGTCATCCTCTGCCTCCAGGAGGGAGGGCAGCAGGAAAGGCCACGGACTAAAGCACTGAAGTGCCGTTCCCCAGGGAGCCCCTGCCCAGACCTGAACTTGCTTCTGCACTTGCTGTCCCTTTCCCAGCGGAGCCGAAGCGTCGGGTGCCGCTGCCGGGGGGATGGAGCTGCCAAGGACAAGCTGGGAGGGTGTTTGCGAGGGAAGGGGGTAGAAGGAGCTCTTGATGTGCTTTTTTTACTTCTTCATCCCACAGAATTGCCACGAGAGGAAATACTTCAGAGGGGCTTCCCTCCAGATAAGGCCTGAAGATGCCAGGAGGTTTCAGCCGGGAGGAAAGGAGCTGTGGAAGAAAAGCAGCCTAAAAACAGCCAGTGGGGATCATCAGGTTTTCCAGCCAAGAAGAACAAGGAGAGAGATGAGGGAATCGGGTTCCAATTCCTAATGCTTTGGTGGGTGCAGGAATGATTTCTGTGTGTTTTCCAGTCCCTTTGGATTCCTGAGATGATTTTAAAATGATGGCTTTAGCAATCAACTAAATCGCAGATGTTGTTTTTGAGAGGAAATGATGCCAAAGAAATGCAGAGTTTTGGGTCAGTTTTGGGGATGACTTGGGTCAGTTTTTGGGGTCAGTTTTGGGTCAGCTTTTGGGGTGATTTGGGTCGGTTTTGGGTCAATTTTGGGGAGCACTGGGTGTTACTGAGGGTTGTTGGGGAGCACTGGGAGAGAAAATGGAAAATAAAGAGAATAAAAAATAAACGAAATAAAAAAGGATATATAAAAAACAAAAGAAATCTCAAAAACAAATAAATGAACAAAAAACCCCTTTATATTTGCTTGTACAAGAAGAAGATTGTTCTTCCACTCAACCAGGTTTTGAGAGGACAAATTAATTGTTTCTCTGACAACACTATCCATTGGAGGCTGTTAATGATCCCATAGTCTGTGCTAAAGGTTTTAGCTGATTGTGTTTGTCATCAGCTTTTACTAAAGGAAAAGCAAGCCTTCTCAGCTGCGTGGATATTACAGGAACGAAATGATTCCATTCATGTAGATAATGATAAGAGCCAAAACAAAAATATTGTAAGTGTCCTGTGTGGAACAACATACAGAATTTCAAAAGGGATTGTAGTGGTCCCATATACAGAACTAACATACTTCCTGTTCCTTATTTGCTGATCAGGTCATATTTATCTGCCTGTCAGGACTGTTGGAGCACTGGATGGAGAGCAGGTCATATGAAGAGGATTACGGAGTAAAAGGCAGCTTGTACTTAAGTGCAGGGTAAGTATAAATATTTATATATATTGGCACAGCGCCTGGCCTTAATGCTTAAAATCCTTTGGAGAGCTGTCTGCATATTTACTGTATTAATGATCAAATGCAAGGCTGTGTTGGGAAAGGTCTTCCATTTGGAAGTCAGTAGTTGAGACTGTCTTGCCTATGAAAAAGAGGGAGAATTTTCGTTAGAGGATGTAGGATTCTGGCTGGTAATAGTCTTAATTCAAGGTATTTTTAGAGAATTGATTTAATACAAGCAGAACAAATGGCCAGAAGTGTAATGAGAGACAAGTTGAAATTAGAAAGTAGATGTGCATTTTGAATGTATTGTCATAGCAACTGATTAAATTCTCCCTCTCTTGCTGTTCTGGGGACCTTTTAAATGTGCTTTGGCTAAATAAAAAGTATTAGACTATTTCAGAGCCAAAAGGTCAGTTCTTGTTGTCTCTTTTGCACTTTAATTCTACTACACTGATACTTGCTAACCACTTAAAACCCTAGATGCAGAATGAGAACTTGGGTTATTAACAATAAACAAGTAAACAGCAGAAAGACTTGACCTTTCTTTTGAATTACCCTACAGTGATAAAAAATACCAAACAAACCTCCTTCCCCAAAGAAACACCCCCCAAAATACCCAACAACTCACCAAACAGAAAATCACCGACAACCAAAAAGCAGAAGTAACAAACATGAACAGCAAGTGGAGGAAGAGTTTGAAAGCGGGCTGGACAGAAGCAGAAGTGTTACTGCCCACTCTTAGGCCACTGTGCTGATTAAATGGCTGTTGTTAGGTTTAGATTAATAGTTTGTTGTTGTTGGGTTTTTCGGTGGTGTTGATTTTTTTGTTGTCGTTGTGGGGGATTGTTTGTTTGTTTGTTTTTATTTTGGTTTTTTTTCTGTATTAAGAATCTGGCTCAGTTACTCTCTAGTTCTGGTGTGTTTTCTTTTCCAGGTGGTTGGTGTTTCTGCAGTGCTTGGCACAGGACTGGGTGAGTTTTTTACCCAGCTTTCTAAAGCTGTAGATGAATAGGAGAGGTAAGGGGATAACTTCTGGTCCGCGACCCAGTGACCACTTCCTGAAGGTCCTGATTCATGAGTCTGCTCCTTTGATTTGAAGGAGTGTACAGTTGCCATAGCCAAGGTAGCTTAGGGTGTCCAGTATCAGCATAAAAAGCAGCAGTAAAAAGGAACTATTCAGAGATGAATTTTTGTGCTGTTCCGTGAAAAAGTAAAAGCTATCTGTGCCAGCAAGTCTGTGAAGTAATTTTTTTCTTGTAATTCCATACCAAGTTTTGAATTGTTGCTGTTTTAATGAAGTATGTTCATTGATTTTGCATCCATTGGTTTCAGAATCCAAATCTGGGGAAAAAAGTACTGTTAGTCTTTCTGAAATGTCTCTCAAACATGAAAGCCTAGAGAAAACTTTTTTTTTGAGTAAAACGAAGCCTCCAGGATGATCCTTCTGCAATACAAATCATGTGTTTTTCAGACTGAATGCACTCCCTTTGTTCACCTTTTCAGAGAGTATCGGCCAGAATACGAGCGCCTGAGAAAAACACTGGTAAGTGTTTTTAGCTGTTTTACACCTGAACAGTGTGTCTTGGGTCACTTTTATGCACACAATTGCCTTTATGTTGAGAGGGTCTAACATTTCATTTACTAGTCTCTTGATGGAAGGGTATTGACAGATTGCTCCAGGATCAATATGATCAGGCAAATGTCGGATTTATTAGGAGAAAGACAGATTATATAGTGGTAATGACGCTCAGCTTCTTGTTCACACAACATTGGTTACATAAGGAAAACATGCTCTGCTGTTCCCTGCTAATTGGACCACAACAGGTGGTCATAGGAGATGAGAAAACTTTATTCACCTCCCAAAACTCCTCCTTGGCATCTTGGCACAAGGCCTGCAGCCATATTAGTGGTGCAGCATTTTTTACTATCAGCACCCAGCCATGCCAGGGGAGAAATCACAGAAATGCAGCAGAAACTGTTCACACAATTTCTGTCCTGCGACACTAGTCGTACTCACTGTGGGAGAACTCCTGTCCTGAAGGAGTCCACCATTTGCCTTTTTTTTCCTAGATGTGGTGGAGCATATCTTTACAAAAATAAAGATTTTGTAAAACAGATGTTGCTCACTGGTTTAGTGCTAATATTTGAGCTAATTGTGTGAAAATGATTGGGAAATAAGATTGTGTCTTCCATTCAGATGGATAGAGAGTTCTTAAAAATAAATTTCCAAAGGGATTTGTTGAGACTATCCCTGTATCTTCCTGCACCAGTGAAGAGCACTAGTTTGACTTAGTAAGAAAGACTGAATTGCAGTGCCAAAATCAGTAGCTCTGCTCACCTTGAGTTCTGGCTGTCCAAAGGACAGTTCTCTGCAGGCACAGCTACACAGAGTTTGGCTTCCCGGTGCTGCTTAAAATCCCACCTAGATGTCCTAGAAAATGTCCTAGAATCCCACCTGACTGGAGGTTGCTTTCCATGCTTAGTCAGAAGTTCTGTGTAACCTGAGTTGAAATGTAAGACCTGCATAGTGACTTCTGCTCTCTGACTTGGGGACAGGCTGCTGGGTTTGGGTGAGGTTTCTCTTCTCCTGATGTTTTAAATGTTCTCAGAATCCACATGGAAATCTTTGTCTACGGGAGAAAGCTCAAAATAAGCAAAAGAGAGAGCAGCTGGAACACTTGTGGAAGGACATGGGCAGTGTGTGTGTGCAGGGCAGCACACTGGCAGGTACCTCCCCAGGAGGATAAAGGTTACTGCAGAAGTTTTCTGAAGAGTTTGCCTTGTGAAGTAGTACAGTGCTTCTTTGTCCTCACAGCAGACGTGTGAAAGCAGCTCCATGTTAGAGGAGTGGGGCTTTAGTTCCTGTGGGATTGGTCACACTCAGCTCTTCTGTGTCAGTCACAGGTTTGGAAGAAACCCCACTGTGTAGCTAAAGCAGGGGACCTACTAGAAATAATGAAATACTTTAGAAAAGGCGAAACAGTCAGATCAGAATGTGAGAAAGCTCTGCTGTTGGCTGCACTGTTCCTTAGATGAGGCGAGTAGGTGCTGATGGAGTCTGTCCTGTGTCTGGGATCCACAAGCAGCTTTCTGTCCCCTTAGAGCAGGTGTTCATTGCTGGGTTTCTGTGCAGACAGAAACCTTACCTTTAGCAAGCTGGTTTGTGTACAGCCGTTTCTGTTCCCTTCAAGGACCTGATGCTTCTGCAATGGGTCCCTCTGAGCTAATACTAACACGAGGAACTCTCGATGAAGAGCAAGAAGAGAGGGAGAGTGACGCTGATGGCATTGACCATGAAGGTAAGGGAATGAGGTCTAAAAGCTGCCTCTCAAGAAATCCCCTCTGTATTTCATGACCTGGATGGACTGTAAGGAGAGCCTAGAAAACAAGCAAACATTCAGTCACCTGACGTGTCAGAATGTGTAGCAGAAGCTCAGCTGCAATGGTCAGTGCAGGGATATCACTCTGTAACCTTTGTGAAAGTTCAATTGTAAATTTTCTATTCAAGTAATTAATAGGTGTATAACACACATAAACCAGAGAACTCGTTAGGCTTGGGGCATGCAGTGACCTCTGAACCTGATTGATGCACAGATGTGTCCATCATCTTTTTGGCCTTACAGTTTCTGCCCCTGGCTCTCTTCCCTTTTCCTGTGACTGTGGTCTTGGAGCAATCTTCTAAGTTGTTACAGTGTGATTTTTCTCTTCTATAGCTCACAGACTTAATCTTCATTCTTCCCCTGTTCCACTGATGGGTAGGATCACTTATTTCCTTTGCCCTGTAATGTAGTTGAAGATGGAATAGACTTTCTATGTTGCTTTGGCTATCCTGATTCTAGCTTTTTTTCAGAAGCACAAGTAGAACAAGTACTGAAATAGCGCTGAACTTCAGCAGCAGCGGGGACTGCGCAGGAGAAGGAGGGTGGGCAGCGGGCCTGGGGCGGGCAGGGGGATGGGGGTGGGGGCGGGCACTTAAAAGATTTCGGCCAGGGAGCTGATCTCAGCCAGCACCCAGTCGGGGCAGTCTAAGTCCCCGTAGAAGCAGAACTGCTGCGTGGGGAGAGGCGGTCAGAGGCGCACTGCCGCTCTGCGTCCTCCCCGCTCCCCGCCGCCGACTCCCGGCCCACCACGTCGCCGCTGCTCCCCGGTCCCCCATGCCGCACAGTCCGCCTTCGCGACCCGGAACCGCCCCGTGTGCCGGTGGGGGGCTCCCCGAGGGGCTCTGCAGGGGCCTTGGGGCCGGGCCCCCGGGGGTGCAGCCCGACCAAGGGGCGGGGCAGGGGACGGGGTCCCGGGAGCGGGACCGGGGCGGCCACGGAGCCGCGGGAAAGGGCCCCTCCGACACGGCCCTCGTCCCTCGCGCCGCGACCACCCGAGCACCTCCCGCCACCCGCGGCCGCGCCCCGCGGGCTCCAAGCCGCCGCCAATCCGGGCCCGAGGCAGCGTCTGGCCCGCCATCCCGGCCGCCTTTCTCGGCGTCCGTCCAATCAACGCCCGCTTTCAGATCCGGCCGCGGTCCCCGCAAGCTCTGCCCGTTCAGCCGCGGCGCAGCCCCTGCCGCGCGGCAATCCGTCTCCCCACTTAAGGTGTTCCCGCACAGGCGCTGCGTGGGACCACGGAAGGGCGGTGGGAGCTCGTCGGTCACTCCCGTCGCGGGAAGCTTCCCAGGAGCAAGGGGAGGGAGCGGGATGCGGCGGGAGGGGTCCGGGAAGCGGGGCCTGCGGGGGCCAGCCGGCTTTCTCGGGAACGGGCGGGCGGGGATTGGCGGGGCTTGGCACGGGGGGGCGGGGCTATGCGGGCCGCTGGTCTATAAATGCGGGGGAGTGGGCCGCGGGGGGGGTCAGTTTCGCCGGCGGAAGGTGGAAGCGCGGCGCAAGGTGGCAGCGGGGCTGGTAGCGGCGGAGCCGGGGCGAGATCGGCACGTGAGCTGGGGCGGGACTCCCGCGGCTGCCGCTCCAGGCACGTGGCCTGTCTTGGGCAGAGGGGCCGCTCTCTCCGGGAGGTTGTGGCTCCCGACGTGCAGGTCCGATCCCGGCCCGCCACTCCCAGCCCGCTTTTCTCCGCTCCGTCCAATCGTAGCCCGCCCTTTCAATGGGGCCGCGGTCCCGTAAGCTGTGCCCGCTCAGCCGCGTCGCGGCGCCGCCCCCCTTCCCCACGTTCCCCTCAGGCGCTGTAGGTGCCGGCGCCTTTGCTTCCGGAGCCGCGCCTGCGCTGCCGCAGCCCCCGACAGGCCCTGTTGGGACCAGGGAGGGCGGGTGGCACAGCTCCGCGCTCACGTCCCGTCTGGGAGTTCTTCCGGGAGGCGGGGAGGGGGCGGGAGCGACGGCGGCCCTTTCAATGGGGCCGCGGTCGAACAAGCTCTGCCCGCTCAGCCGCGGCGCGGAGCCCCCCCCTCTCCACCTCGGCCCCCGCGTTCCCCTCAGGCGCCGCTCTCGGCGCCTTTGCTTCGGGATCCGGCGGAGCCGCGCCTGCGCTGCCGCGGTGCCCGCAGGCGCTGTTGAAAGGGCTGGTGGGAGGTCCGCGGTCCCGTCCCGTCCCGTAGTTCTCCCGGGAGAAGGGGAGGGAGGCGGGCAGCGGGCGGAAGCGGAGCAGCCCCTGGGAGCGGGGCCTGAGGGGACAGCGGGGTTCTTGGGGACTGGCAGGGCGGAAACGGGCAGGCGGGGATGCGGGCCTGGACGTGCCGACGCTGGGATTGGCTGGTGCACGAGGGAGGCGCGGGCTGTGCGGGCCGCGGGCTATAAGGGGTGGCAGGAGCCCTGGAAGGCGGTTCGGCGGCGGGGCTGGGGCGGCGAGGGAGACGGGTCGTTAATGCGTGCCGCTGGGCCGAGGAGCGGCGGTGAGCCAGGGTGGGACCCTCGCGGCTGCCGCTCCAGGGAGCGGGGGGGAGCCATGGGGCAGCACCCCCTCGGCTGCCGATCCAGGGGGAGCCGGGGTCGGTCCCCCACAGCTGCCGAGGCAGGGCGTTGGGCAGGCGGTGTCCCGGGCAGCTGTGCCGGCCAGCTTTGGTCAGTGCTCAGTGGGGGAGCGACCCGTGCTCAGGGGTGCTCCCCCGAACCAGAAGGACTAGGATGCAGCCTCTCAGTGCGGCTGGTATTGAAAGTATTATTACAAAGAAAAGTAATAAAAGATGTTTCATTCTATTATAATTTTATTTTACTTTTATTTTCATCTTTGACTACTTGATTGTTTATTCTATTGTTTTGTTGCTGTTTCCGTTGGGATGGGTGGGACAGCTCCTAGAGATATTTAAGTGAACGACAAAGACTGATTTGTGACCTTGTCAACAGCCCCGGGCTGCAGAGATACCCAGGAGCAGATTTAGGCAGAGGCAGCAGAAAGCTGAGGCAGAGGCAGCAGAAAGCTGAGAACCTGGAGCTCAGGCAGCAGAGCTGGTGGAGACATAAAGACGGTAGGACTGTGGGCAGAACAAGAGTGGGGCTGGATTAGGGAGCATGGGCCTGGCATAAGTACTGCAGGGATGGAGCTGGGATAAAAATAGTCAGACCTGGCCTGGAATGTGGGCTTGAGAGCTGGAGTGGAAAACTCAGACCTTTAAAAGAAGGAAGATGCTAGGATTGGGACGTGCAGCAGCTTTACCGGGAGCTGACAGCAGAGCTGGCAGAGAAATAAAGGTTGTGGGTCTGGGTATGGGATAGGGAGAGTGGTGCTCGGAAAGGGACTGTGGAGCAGGGATAGGGACTGTGGCACTGCAGCAGAAATCACTGTAGGATTGAGACAGGGACTGGCACCGTCGCTGAAACATCTGTATGTCTGTGGCATAGGGATTGATGGGCGGGAACATGGACTGGGGGGAAGAGCTGAAATCAGTCTAGGGCAGGGATCTCGACTCTGGAGTTGGAATTGGGTTTGTGGGGCTGGAGGAGCACCTGGGGGACTGGGATTGGGAATGTAAAGTTGGAGCTGGAAAGTGGCAGAGCTGGAGCCAAGATGAAGATCCTGCAGTGAGAACCTGGAGCAGCTTCCCGTGGTGGCGCTGGCAAGATGCAGAGCTACTGCTGAGAGAGCAGAGCTGGCAGTGCAATAAAGCTTGTGGGTCTCGAGCTGAAATCACTGAGGGGCTGGGGTAGGCATGGGTTCTGGGCTTGGGACTGTAACACTTGGGGCAGTAATGACAGCAATCACTGTGAGATAGGGCCTGTGGCACCGTCCCTGCAATGGCTGTGTGTCTGATATAGGGATTGATGGGCGGGAAGGTGGATTGGGTGGGTAGAGCTGAAGTCAGTCTAGTGCTGGGCTTGTGTCTTTGGTATTGGGATAGGAATTTTGGGACTGGAGGAACACCTGGGGGACTGGGAGTGGGAGTGTGAGGGGGGAGCTGGAAAGTCACAGAGCTGGAGCTGAGATGAAGATCCTGCCGTGAGAACCTGGAGCAGCTTCCCGTGGCGGTGCTGGCAAGATGCAGAGCTACTGCTGAGAGAGCAGAGCTGGCAGTGCAATAAAGCTTGTGGGTCTCGAGCTGAAATCACTGAGGGGCTGGGGTAGGGACAGGGTTCTGGGCTTGGGACTGTAACAGTTGGGCAGGAATCAGTGTGGGGCGGAGATAGGGTCTTTGGCACCGTCGCTGAAATCTCTATGCAGCTGGAAATGGGATTGTAAATTGGGAATGTGGACTGGGCTGGTAGAGGAGAAATCAGAGTAGGGCTGTGCTTGTGATTTTGGAATTGGGATAGGAATTCTGGGGCTTGAGGAGCACCTGGGGGACTGGGACTGGGAGTGTGAGGGTGGGAGCTGGAAAGTGGCAGAGCTGGAGCCAAGCTGAAGATCCTGCAGTGAGAACCTGGAGCAGCTTCCCGTGGCGGCGCTGGCAAGATGCAGAGCTACTGCTGAGAGAGCAGAGCTGGCAGTGCAATAAAGCTTGTGGGTCTCGAGCTGAAATCACTGAGGGGCTGGGATAGGGCTGGGTTCTGGGCTTGGGACTGTAACACTTGGGCAGGAATCCGTGTGGGGTGGAGATAGGGCCTGTGGCACCGTTGCCAAAATCTCTATGCTGCTGGAAATGGGATTGTAAATTGGGAATGTGGACTGGGCAGGTAGAGCTGAAATCAGTCTAGGGCTGGGCTTGTGATTTTGGAATTGGGATAGGAATTTTGGGGCTGGAGGAGCACCTGGGGGACTGGGACTGGCATGTGAGGGTGATAGCTGGAAAGTGGCAGAGCTGGAGCCAAGCTGAAGATCCTGCAGTGAGAACCTGGAGCAGCTTCCCGTGGCGGCGCTGGCAAGATGCAGAGCTACTGCTGAGAGAGCAGAGCTGGCAGTGCAATAAAGCTTGTGGGTCTCGAGCTGAAATCACTGAGGGGCTGGGGTAGGGTCAGGGTTCTGGGCTTGGGACTGTAACAGTTGGGCAGGAATCAGTGTAAGGTGGAAATAGGGCCTGTGGCACCGTCGCTGAAATCCCTGTGTGGCTGTGGCATAGGGATTGATGGGCAGGAACGTGGATTGGTTGGGTAGAGGAGAAATCAGTCTAGTGCTGGGCTTGTGTCTTTGGAATTGGGATAGGAATTTTGGGGCTGGAGGAACACCTGGGGGACTGGGATTGGGAGTGTGAGGGTGGAGCTGGAAAGTGGCAGAGCTGGAGCCAAGCTGAAGATCCTGCAGTGAGAACCTGGAGCAGCTTCCCGTGGCGGCGCTGGCAAGATGCAGAGCTACTGCTGAGAGAGCAGAGCTGGCAGTGCAATAAAGCTTGTGGGTCTCGAGCTGAAATCACTGAGGGGCTGGGATAGGGATGGGTTCTGGGCTTGGGACTGTAACACTTGGGCAGGAATCAGTGTAAGGTGGAGATAGGGCCTGTGGCACCTTTGCTGAAA